GCACGAAGTGCAGCTACAGAATACCATCCCTGCTACTCCTCCCGTGGCAACTCCGGCATTAGTTGCGGCTTCTTCAACTAAATCCCTTCCTACTTCAGCCACCTCTCAACCTTTCACCAACAATTGTGGCCGTGGTCGAGGCAGGTTCCAGAATTTTCGGGGGCGTGGCGGTCGCAGACGTGGCCGAAATCAATCTGATCACTATAATTCTTTTTATCCTGCTTACTCTAATTTTTAGCCTCCTATGTTTTCTCCCAGAAACCTTCCTCCTTCACTTCTTGGTCCAGCTCCTTCTTTTCAGCCAGAACAACTTACTATTCGCTGTCAATTATGCAATCAAGCGAATCACTCTGCTAGAGAATGCTTCCAATTTCGGCAACCCGCTTACTTTGTCGATCAATATACTCGACCTCCTGCTCCTCCATCCGTGGATTCATCCTGGTATATGGATACCGCTTGTGGTAACACTATGACTCCCACTCAAGGTATTATTTCCAATTCAAAGCCTTATAATGGATCTTCTAGGGTTGTGATTGGTAATGGTAATATGTTGCCCATTAAATCTGTTGGCACTCTTTCTTGTTCTTCGTTTAAATTTCCTCGCGTTTATTGTGTTCCTTCTATTACGAAAAATCTTATCTCTGTTCGTCAATTTGCTACTGAAAATCAATGTTCAGTTGAATTTGATCTTTTTGGTTTTTCTGTGAAGGATCTCTGGACGAGGATTCCTCGTCTACATTGCAATAGCACTGGGTCCCTTTATATCTTTCCTTCTACCTTGCTACATTAGTCTCTTGCACCATCTTCCTTGTCATGTCCGGTGTTTGCTGCTCCAGTGTCTTCCCAAGTGTGGCATCAACATCTTGGTCACCCGCACTCTTCTGTCTTGTCCAGTTTAGTGTCCCGTCAGAGTCTTCTTGGTTCGGTGGTTTCGTCCAATAAGCTTTACCTTTGTCAAGCATGTCAAATTGGAAAGCATCATAAGCTTCCTTTTCAGTCTTCGTTGTCTGTCACTTACAGTCCTTTTGATATTATTCATACTGATGTCTGGACTTCTCCTTGTCTTTCCTTTAGTGGTTTTAAATATTTTGTTCTATTTCTAGATGATTTCACTCATTACCTATGGGTGTATCCTCTCAAAAATAAATTTGAAGTTCCTCAAAAGTTTGTTGAATTTTATACTCTTGTTCAAACTCAATTCCATTCTTCTATTAAAATACTTCAATCCGATGGTGCTGCTGAATATGTTCGCTCTCAATCTCTTCAAACCTTTCTCAAATCAAAGGGGGTCGCAATGCGAGTCTCTTGTTCATACACTCCCCAACAAAATGGGAAGGCTGAACGAATGAATAAAACTATTCTTAACATGGTCCATACTCTTCTTCATCAAGCCCTATTACCAAATGAATTCTGGGTCGAAGCATTAATCACTTGTGTTTATCTCTTAAAACGGCTGCCTACTACATCTATGTTTGGAGCTGTCCCTTTCTCACTTCTCTTTGGTCGTCCACCTAATTATGGGGTACTTAGGGTTTTTGGTTGCTCTTGTTTTCCAAATCTCTCTCATTTAGCATCTCATAAACTTAGTCCTCGTTCAGTTTCTTGTGTGTTTCTTGGTTATCCAGAATCATATAAGGGTTATCGTTGTTTTGATCCAGTCTTTCGAAAAGTCTACATTTCTCGTCATGTCATTTTTTATGAAACTTCGTTTCCTTTTCCTACATTATCCTCTTCGACTTAGCCCCTTCATACCTCGGCCCCCTCATTTAAACATCCTTCCTTTCTCATTCCCAAATGCCTTCCATCACCGATTATCTCCTCTCCCAGCAAAACTCCTGTTTCAGATTCTATCTCTACCACCCAAGTTTCCGTTCCTACTCAACCTTCAGATTCTATATCCACCGTTGCTCCCTCACATCCTATGGTCACCCGCACTCGGGAGGGCACACGAAAATCCAAACAGATTTTCTCCCTCACTGCCACTACCAATTCTCCTTCTCTTCCCATTGAACCAAAATCTTTCACTGAAGCAAATAAACACCCTGAATGGCGTGCCGCTATGAGTGATGAATACAACGCCCTTCTGTCTAATCATACATGGGATTTAGTCCCACTACCTGTGTCTGCGAATGTCATTGGTTCTAAATAGATCTTTCGTGTGAAACTCAAATCCGATGGATCCCTTGATCGTTGTAAAGCACGTTTGGTTGCTCAGGGTTGTAATCAAAAACCTGGGCTTGATTATAATCAAACGTTCAGTCCTGTGGTTAAACCAGTGACAATTCGGACTGTCTTAAGTATTGCTGCATCTCATAAGTGGCTCGTCCATCAGTTGGATGTTAAAAATACTTTTCTGCATGGCCATTTAAATGAAGTTGTCTATATGAAACAGCCTACTGACTTTGTTCATCCAAACTATTCTCACTATGTCTGTCGCCTGAACAAAGCTCTTTATGGGTTAAAGCAGGCCCCCTGAGCTTGGTTTCATCGCTTTACTACTTTCCTGCTTACACAGGGTTTTAAAGGCAGTCGCTTGGATTCTTCTATGTTTGTTTACACTGCTGGCACTGACATGGCTGCTCTCCTCCTCTATGTTAATGATATTCTCTTAACAGCCTCTAGCGATCGTCTTCTCACCAGACTTATTCAGTCTCTAAAGGGTGCTTTTGCCATGACTGATCTTGGTCCTATCAGTTACTTCTTGGGTGTCTCGGTTTCTCCCCAGTCAAATGGTTGGTTTTTGCATCAATGCAAGTATGCTGAGGAATTACTTTCTCGCAGTCATCTCACTGAAGCTAATCCTGTTGCCACTCCACTTGCTCCGGCTTTTCAGTTCTCTGTTGATGAGTCACCACCATTTCATAATCCGACTCTCTACAGAAGTTTGGTTGGTGCCCTCCAATACCTTACTTTCACCAGACCGGACATTCAGTATGCTGTCAATCTTGTCTGTCAGCATATGCATGATCCTCGGGAGCAACATTATCAGGCTGTTAAGCGCATTATACGGTATATTAAGGGTACTCTTCACTATAGTATTCATATCCGTGCTGGTTCTCTTGATCGTCTTGTGGCTTATTCGGATGCTGATTGGGCTGGGTGTCCGACAACTAGACGTTGTACCACTGGGTTCTGTGTCTTTTTAGGTTCATCATTGGTCTCGTGGTCTTCCAAAAAGCAATCTACTGTTTCACGATCTTCTGCTGAATCTGAGTATCGCGCCGTTGCTACTACCTTATCTGAAGTTGTTTGGTTAGAAAATCTTTTATCTGAGCTTCACATCAAACTTCCCAGATCTTCAGTTATTCTGTGTGATAATATTTCTACTACCTACCTTGCCGCCAATCCTGTTAATCATGCCAGAACAAAGCATATTGAGCTGGATATCCATTTTGTTCGTGAACGAGTTGCTGCTGGTTTTCTTCTTGTTCGGCATATTCCCACACAATCTCAACTTGCAGATGTCTTCACCAAGTCATTACCTAAAGATAAATTCTATTTGTTTAGAACCAATCTAGGCATGATTCCTCATCCTGCTACGATTGCGAGGGGATGATAGAGTGTGTAATTAAGGAAACCAAATTAGGGTTTCTGGAATAGTCGGCTAGGGTTTTATGTATCCTTATATATATATATATATATATATATATCTCAATGTACAACCGATAATACACACAGAAATATAATTCTTTCAAAATCAAATTTACTAAAACCCAACTACTACTTATCAGGCTTTTTTTCCCTCCACAATTCAGCTGACAAAATAATCATTATTTTTCACTATGGACATCTTACTATATGGACGTTATTTACTATTTAGGCTTCAATAATCAAAATATATTCTCAATAGATTTGTTTGAAACAATGAAAAACATAAATTGAAGAACAAATTAAATTAATTGATTAAAAAAAATAAAAGGTTTTAAATCAAGTCAAGTTTAATTTTTCTTAGCATAGCTAGCTTCCCGTAATAATCAAATTTATGATAGCTTCCATCAACTCTATTAATTACGTCGTATACTTGCAGTTGCAGCTGCTTATCGTGATACATGAACAAAGGAATTCTTTAGTTAGTTTTCACCAAAAAAAATAAATAAATAATAATTCTTTAGTTACAGAAATAGCTAAGTTGGAAGATAATTTGAAAAATATCTTCAAATTTCTGAATTAGGTTTCGGACACACAGTATAACGTAGAGCGAGGTATGTGATGAAATTAATACCCGGTTTTGATATTGAATACATACACGGTAGCAATTTTTTAATTTGAGATCAAAGATTGTTTTTTATTAAAAAAATATAACTAAATAATATCTCTTCAATTTACTTTGATTTGGTATACTTCGCATCTAATACGTGTCTGAATTCATGTTTTGATTAATTTAAATGTGACTTGGATGAATATCTTTCAGGAGCTTAACCTTCATTAAAAAGAACTCGTTCCATCTTTGTATTCAATGATTAAATTCTAGAAATGGAAGTGATGATATGATTCTGAGTCGACGGGATTTTTTTTCTTCGCCACGATGAATCGATGATATGTACGTTGCAATCATCTCCGCAATTGCCAAAATTTTGCCAGTTCATATTAGTAAACTGGCCTCCATATATTGGAATAACTTGTTGGAATATTTGTTTCAACTTGGAATTGTAATATTTACATTAATTCCTGTGTTCTTTTTATTTTTTTTTGGTGTACAAACCATTCGTGAATAATTTATCAATGAACATTGGGCCTTATTCTAAAATTTAAAAAATAATAACCCATGGGAAAAAGTAAAAAATTCAATAACTTCATTTCTGGATAATAATAGGAAAAATTACGCATAAGCTCGCCATAGTACAAGTCAATGGTAACAACGTAAGAAAATATACCTAAAAATAAAAAATAAACAAACCTAGTGAAGATCTTTTTTATCAAAAATAAATTTAATAATATGAAACGAATAAAAACGCATTCATCTTTGAAACCAAAACCCAAAGCAAATGCAACACGATGAATCAATTCCCTCCACCACCGGGACTAGGGCCGGATTTCTTAATCTCTCCCAGGTTTAAACCGGCCGACGTGGTTGACATATGCCCTCCTCCGCCGGGACTCGGCCCTCCGGTCTTAATGGCCGCGACGATGAGACGATTCAGAACCACCTCGATTGCATGCATGTCGTTGGCCGAGTTCTTAATGCTTTTTCCATTGTTGGTCAACGGACGAGCTTGACTGAAGAAAGCGAAATTGCTCAAGAAGAGTAGTGCAACAAAAATGGCGAAAATCGCGAAAGATTTAAGGCTTCTTGTTGCTGCCATTGCAAATGTGACGAACACAAACTTAGGGATTCAAATAAAATTTTGCAACTTTGATAAGATGCTGTAATTGACTACTTAGAAGAGTACTCTTTGTAGTTTTAAGTTTTCTTGGTACAACATTGGTAAAGGGTAGGGTTACATATTTATAGTATTCGACGAGGGTGATCGAGGATGAAGAGAGTTAATTTGAAATTCTGAGAATGAACTTTGAAAAATACTGCTAAAGAGGGAAGAACAGTAAGTGGTACTAGCTAGCAACTCAATATTCCATCCATGCGTGCTTACATCGTGAAAAAAAGGAGTAGAAGGAATCATCGAGGAAGGAGTGTTAGTATCATCGACAATAATGCTTGCATGAGTGCATGCATGCTTTGGCAGTGAAAAAAATAAACAATAAAAAAATAAAAAAAAATAAAATTGGTACATTACTCGGTCGGTACCGAAAATTACTATATTTACCAACTAATTTAGATTTAGTTCAAATAATTCACATAAGTATTTTTTTTCAATAAATATTTTATAAAATAATGTATCTCATGTTAAGATTTGAACTCAAGTTATAATTAAACTAACTAAAAAATTTTAACATTGGCTGAATACAGTGGCGGAGGGAGGGGATCAGTACTTCAGTAGGGACAGTTGCTCCCCCTCCCTTAATTTTTCATTAAAGAATGAGAGCTTTTAGTATAAATTCATGAAAAATTTTAATTTCGCACCTGCAACAATTTTTTTACACATTTGTATTCTTCTCAAAGAATTTTGAGATTTTTTTCGCCCCTATTATTGTTGATTCCTAGTTCCGCCACTGCCTGAATATGTATGTCAGTATATATGTATTTTAGAAGATACAAAAATTCATTAAGCACATAATTCCAAAGTAAACAAATTAAATGAAAGAGTTTTGACCGCTCTATCAGCCTTGAAAAGGGTGCATGCCTGAAAAGATGATAATATTTGGAACCATAAACTTTTTCTTTTTCCTATTTTTCGATCATCTGTGGAAAACATCAACGATCGGGACTTCCAGAAAACCATAAACTTTTTCAAGTTAGCTTAATTTGACGCGATCGCATCACACTATCAATTAGTTATTCCATCATGTACTTTCCACCTTCGCTTTCACTTTTTACTTTCTAGTGAGAACTAAAACTTTTTTCTTTCTGTTTTTTTTTTTTCCTCATTTCTGGTGAATATTTCAAAGACAAATTGGAAGATAAACAGTACTCCGCCATTTTGAGAGGTCTGGTTCCAGAGTATGTTCAATGTATATTATGTAGTGTGTAACATAAAAGGCTATAGAAAAAGAGGATGTCTTGTTGACAAGAAATAAGAAAATCAAGGGTCTGGTCAGTGGTCATTCCCCATTCCAAACAGTAATAAATTACTTACTATTAAATCTTGCGCAAGCCAATTGTGTCGCGATTTGTTCTTCCATGGAAGACACACTCCACTACTTATATAATTAACAAATAACCAATTTGCCTTTCTATCACTTCGCATTTCGCAAAGTGACCATTTGCATGCCTTTCTATTGAATTTCAGTTTTTCGTGACATTATTACTCTAAATCCATTGTGATATACATACATCTTCATATAATCGTCCGTATATGTATCCTTCATGTAAGGGTCAATTGCAATATCAAATCTATGTTTCTTTCTTTTATGTTTTACTCCTCCAGTCCTTAATATAAACATTTTGATTTGTCTTAAATTTCACTTAGTAAGCATTTTTAATTGAAAAAAATTCAAAAATATTTTTTAACAATAAAAAAAATACAACGAATGAGAAAATATATTTTTAAGATTTTTTTCGATTAAAAATACATATTAGCTAAAACCTATGACAAATCAAAATGTCGCATATTAAAGACCAAAGAGAGTATTTCTGTATAATGAGAGAGGTAGTTAGAAACCCAACTTTTAGAAATAAAAATATTACGTGGATAAAAAAACCGTGATAGTATAAGATTATAGTTACTACTACTAAACCCAGCGTCATATCAAAAGACGTGGAAATTCTCCCGGACTCGTAAAAGCAACAAGTGCCAAGTAAAATATACATCAATCACTATACAAATTTTGCGGACTTTATTTACTACTATTAACATTTCTATAGCAACGAAAAGACCAATTATTTGACCGCGCATTGAATTTAATTAGTTAGAAATCCTCATGGATGCACACCGGATTCATTCCATTTGGTAATAAAAATTCCCCTTATGTGAGTGCTTCACATGTTATAATTGTTGGTAAAGCCTTGAAAAGGTCATAATTTTCGACGTAAAGAAAAATGATCGCAAATTCCACATTGAACTCTTCATTCGTGGCTGCTTTGGGTAGGAAAAAAAAACAAAAAAACGGAGAGGTTCAATGTATATGTTATTTAGCGAGTCAAAAGTAATAGTAGTAGTTAGTCATAGGTTTGTTTGTTCGAATGAATTTAATTCCCAAACATCTCTCATGGTCTTGTCTCATCCTTTTTACCACACCTTAATTTTGGGTTCATCCCATTTTGGTTAATTAACATCAACATTCAACACTGAAAAGATCGCTTTGTTGGTGTTTTTTTTTTTCTTTTTTTCCAATTTCTTGGGCGGTTCGGCCTTTGATTCTGTGGGCGATTGATTGGATCAGGAGTGATAATGTCTGTTGCTAGGAGGCCGGTCAAATTAAAGAATTCTTTCATTTCAGAAAACATATACATGGGTACAAAAAAAAAAAAAAAATTACTGGTAAAAGGATTCAATTTATAACGTTAATTATGAAAGTTTTGGTAGTATTGCATAGTTGAGAAATCAAAGAGGTAAAACACACTAAGGGCCAGACGGACTGTAATAGCTAGTTACTCTAAAATCGGGAGTCAAACTGTGGTTAGAGCATGATGTAATTAGGGTGAGATACCATGAAATGTAATTATAAGATTTTAGGCTTTTAAGCCTCTTTTTATTGTAACAAAAAAACAAAAGGGTAAAACACAGGAGGCAAGGTAGCCTCTGGTAAGTTAAATATGGTTGATAATTATCCGTAACATGACCGAACCCATCCACCTATGTTAGTAAATTTAGAAATTGCTAATCTGATTCTATAGGAGTTGCTATCATATAATCTAAAATTTTGAGTATGTCATGCCAATAGACGGGGAAAAAAAAATGAGAGCATCATACTTAAAATTATTCACGCAAGGTTATAGAAAATTTGCAAATATTTCCGGTTGGAAGGGTAAAAACAAAAGAACCACTAAATAAATTAAAAGAGTAGATTTGAAAACAAAACTAAGCAAACGCCAACATTTGAATTTGAATACGATTCATATAACCGAATCCAACATTTAGATTTGAATATATTCATATAACGAATCCACAAAATTGAGGAACAACTCCTCACTGATTACGGTTCATAAAGAACATCCCGAATCCAACATTTAACTTTCGAAATGATTTATATAACCGAATCCACATTTAAATTTGAATATAATTCATATAACCGAATCCATATAGTTATGGAACAACTCACTGAATCACCGGTCATAATTCATAAAGAACATCCCCAGTGGGAAATGATAACAACAACCAAACAAAGTGATAAAGAAAAAAAGGATACAGGCCCACGAAACTAACCAATAAACAAATCCAACTCATTGTACAGTCACGTCAAAGTGGCAAAACGGCCCATTATTAAGCACAAATCTGCCCCCCCTTCCATTAATTCTCTCATCCATTTGCTAAAAACAAACCGGAAAAAAGACGACAACTCTTTTCTTCTCGTCCAGTCGTCCTCTTTGTTTATTTGGTACGTTTTTCCCGTTCGATTCTATCATTTGTCCGGAGGAGAGAAGAAAAAACTCAAAAGACAGAAATCGGAAAAACAAAAGAACCGACAGCTCACTCGACAAAACTAAGCGCAAAAACATCTGGATCCTCGCGTCCCACATCGTATCCCTCGACTGGACTGGTTTACAAACAAACAAGCAAACAAACAAACAAAGAGAAACGCCATAGCCAAAAACGTCAAGCAAAAACCCATCCAAACAAGTCAGAAAAGCCATAGCTAAATGATAAACTTGATGCATCGTTTGAGCCATCCATTTCCACCATTACCATCATCCAATTCAATTTTTGGACCAGTCAACTATTATTTACACAGTTAAACTTTACACAAGAATCCCCACATTTCAACTCCCTCTCAAAACCAAATCACAGATAAAAATTCCTTTCATTTGATTATCAGGAAATCCCAGAAGTGCTGCAACATAGAAATTGGGAAGAAATGAAATAATTACGATTATAAATGTCACTGAAATTTCAGGGCCAAATATTGATAGACACCAAAGAACTGAAGAGTAGGAAATAGTTAGCATTGCATTATAAAATCACTCAAATTACATCATACAATCAATACTTACATCTCAATCTAAGCAGGGATAATCAGGGAAATTGGGGAAAAAGAAGATTAAAAAAGCTACAAATCTGATCGGACACAAAGTTGGCTTAATATTCAGCTAAATTAAACTCAAAGGGTGGAAGAAACATTATATCAATTCCAAACCGAGAGACATAATTGGGCGACTAAAATTTAGCTTTGGCCCGATTGTTGAAGTTCATCGTCTCAAAGTATCGAATCGAAAGCAGGGATAATGAGAGATTAACCTCGTCCTTTCCCCATCTTTTCTTCATTCCATTTCCGGCAGGTTTCGCCGCGACCGGCGGCACCGGAGCGGGTAGGCACGGCCAAGCCGAAGACACCGGCGAGGAAGAAGCTGAAGCCGTCGGCTTCAGAAGCGGCCACAGATACAACGAGAAAAGCCGCCGGAAACCACCGAGGGCGAGAACCACCGACCGGAGCTGAACCGGAATCTTGGAGTAGTGCTCAGTACAGATCAGTTCCCAAAGCCGCTCATCCTGAGCAGTCTTGCTCCACTGCTTGTTCACGCACGCCGACGCCGCCAACGTCCGACCATCGACGTGTTTCAACACCTCGTACAGCAAGTTCTCGTCGGACAAAACCAAATCCGCCGCAACAACAACAACGACCGCTCCTGAATCTTCCTCCAACTTAGTCTTCTTCTTCAGCAACGCAGCCGTGATCTCTTCTTCGCCGGCGACGGAATCACCCTCGGCGGGAACTGATCGCTTCATTTCCGGATCTGAGCTAAGCTAATTATACACTTACAGAGCGGAATTCGAAGAATTTGCTTCTTCCACCAACAATTCCAATGAAGGGGGAGATAGATCTGAGAGTTTTTAAGGAGGTGATTGAAGAAATTGAGGTTAAATTAATTGGGAATGCAAGTGGGGTTTCTTCATTATTTTTTGATGGTTTTCGAAGAAGACAAAAATTGAAATTAATGCTGTTTTCTTCTTCATACAAAGCTATTATATTATATAATAGTATGAGCTATCAGTGTCTTTTCGTGTGTAATGACTAATTTGTCCTTGTGATAATTACAGTGACCATACTTTTGTTTTGTCTTTTTGCTGCAATTAAAGTCCAGCAAATGATGCAGGGTTTGGTATTATTATTTGGCGTTTTCTGAAACTCTATTTTCGATTACCAAAAATCCAAAAAAAAAAAGAAAAAAAACTCTAAATTTTCCTTCTTCTTTTTTTCCCCTTTTTTTTGTTTTATTTTGCTAGGTTAAATAATTTTTTCTTTTTAGGAATTATAATAGTACTTAGCTGATGTGATTAATTCGTTTTCCGGAAAAGTTTGCTAAGAGTATATGAAAATTATTGGGAATATGCACGGCCTTGCATCATTAAAATACTACTCAAACCAACTAAATTATCGAAATAAATTTTTTATTTTTTCATAACACCGGGAACCCCACCAGAGATGAGTAAATCCACGTCCACTGCAATGTCCTGTAAACCACGATGAGAGTTAAATCACTCTAGGCAAGTCCTGGGTGACAAACTCGGGTATAAAATCGGGAGTTCATTAGTGGGTTAGTAATAACAAGCCCCTAGAGGTGACAATACGTAAGGTGAGAGCCAATCCCTTACTTTTTATTGGAATGGGGAATTGAATTCATGACCTCCTTTTAAAACAAGGATGATGTTACCACTGAACCAACTCCTCATTCGCAAATAAAATTTATTTTTACTAACAACGTAAGTCAGTATACTTTTGTTAGATAAGTCGGTGGTTCCTTTTATTAAGAGTGGGTGATTGCAAATATTCCCATCTTATATTAAAAAAAAAATAGAGTAAAATAATGCGATCAAACATCTATATATAAGGATTTTTTTTCGATTGATTTATATGAAAAATAAGTTTAAAGTGTAAAATTTACACCAGAACTGCAAAACTGTCGGGAAACGTAAAATGTGTAGTAGACACAAGATCTATACACACCAGCAAAAGGCGACTGAGAGTTGTTCTGAATTTTTTTTTTTTAATCATAAAGATGAGAATTAATTTCAAGACGACTGAATGTCATCATCAATATTTCAATTCTTATACAGAAAAAATAATAATAATTAAAATGCACAACATATATAATTATTTTTTCCAGCTTCCTTAATGGGATGCATGTTCTCATAAAGTAGTATCCATTGCGAGAAAACCTACTTTTTTAAATAAGATTGGTACCTTGTGATTGGATAGTAATAATATCCTGATGCATGACATGTTTATTTTATTTTTTTTTATATAGAATTTGAACCTGTAATTTAACATTTACTCTTCTATATCTCAAAATCACAATCTTGTTTCTTCTTTCTTGAGATGGATTAGTATGTCTTTACGTTTTCTGGTACAAATGTCGACTCGTTGTAACAAAAAAAAAAAAAAAAACAACAAAAAGTGCATGATATAATTATTCCTACTGACTGCAAAATTGCACACACACACACACACATTCTTACAAATACTTGTAATTGTAGCAAAAGAAAAAATATATATATTATAATAATGGGAGAGAAAGGATGAAGAGCTATTTGAATTGTCCATCTTTTTCTTGAATGTGTCAACACTTTGTTTTTTAGGCTAAAATTTAAAACACTTAGTCCGAATTAATTGATTGATGAATTAAGACGACAGTTTGGCTTTTCTGTGAAACATAATACATAGGTGGATCGATGTTGTTTAGTAAATTATTCTATGCATTGGATACTCTTAATTTTTTTTTTCCCCTTGTTGTTTGGTAGCGCAGAGTCAACTTTAACTTTGACATGGAATATTTTTTCTTAACTTGTTGTATGGAGTTCTTGCTTTATGACAATGGAATCAAACTCCACCTCGATTTTTACTCTTTTTTTTTAAGAATATATAGTTAGAGAATGGGATAATTTCAACATATAAATTACTCTTTTGTTTTAAAATTTTTTTTATATATGTTTATATTGCCTAACCTCTAAGTTTAGTACCGAAAGAAGACGTCCTCAAGCCTTAATTAAATAACTACATTTTTTGTGTAACATTAACCTAATTACATCATTGTGAAGTCACGGTTTCATCATATCAAAGTCAGGATAATCCTTCGAATCCCATGGCCGCTAGTGAAGTCAGGAAAAAAAAAAAAAGAAAAAAAGACAATAATGGGTTGTTTTGGCGGGTGTAGCTTAGCTAGCTAGGACACCGATGATCATGGACAGCAGGAATGTTGGTTCAACTTCGGCTTTGGGAATTTGAGGTTTCTCCAATCTCCGCAACATTGCGTTGACATTTTTACATTACCATATGATTGTGAGAAAATTCAAATATGAGGCTCTTCATTTTCGGTGCAACTTGATAAAAGTTAGCAAATCATTTGTACCCCAAAAAAAAAAAAGAAAAGTTAGCAAATCTTGCAACGTGTTTTAAAATAAATAAAGGTATTTTCTTCGTCTCAAAATCACAATACGAGAAATTATAATAATGTACCTTCTCTGTTTTAAAATAATTATCCAGTAATTAGATTCCCACCTGTGATGGGATCATTACTTTCCTTACCGCGGAACCGAAGCCATCAAAGGTTTTTGGTGTATTTTCTTGGATCTGATTATGCTGGGATGCGTATGACATGTCAATGTTTACAAGATTAAATAAAATTTTAATTTTGGTTATTGCCTACAAGTCCCTATCCAAAAAATGAAATAAAAATGATTTTATAAAAATAAAACTTATTGTACAAGTCCCTATACTTGTTTGGCCAATGTGGTAATGTGCTTTGGTTTCTCTTAAGCGATGTCTCGGATTCGAGTTCGTGAACGGAAAAAGCAATGTTAGGAGAGTTTTCTCTCTGAAAGAAGACCGACCCGACTCGATACGAATTAGTTTGAGTATAATACACTTAAAAAACCGTGCGGAATATGATAAAGGATACCAGTTTTGCATGCTAGGAATATTTAGCATAGTCTACTTTTCTTTTATTCTTTTTTTTGCACATATGTATTGTATTTGTTTCATTTACTTCTTCACTAAATGAGATACTATCGTTGTCCCAAAAGATAGTCCACATTGAATTTTTATATTTGTATTATTTTTAGTATAAATTTTAAAATTTCATGTAAATTATTTTTAGGGGGGAGAGAGAGTAGTATCTTTAAGATTGAGTGAGTATGTTGGTATGTGAATCCGGTTTTCGTTCTATTAAAGATTATGATTAATAGTAGTTGAGAGAGGATTTAATTTAGTGATAATTATTCCTGAAAAATTATCAAGAGTGATTATCAGGAGTAGTTTTTATCTAATAGTGTAGTAGTTTTTATCTAATAACATAGAATGTCTATAAATATGGCATTAGTTCTTTATTTTGGAGATAAGTCAATCACAATGTAGCCATTCAATTAATTCACCTCTTATTTCTCTTTTATTGATGTTTTTCATATTTTATTTTTCCTCTTCATATTTTATTTTTCTTCTTGGTAATAGAGCAGGTTTCGTCCTGCTTCTGTGCCATGTTTCCGATTTTTTTTTTTTCTTTCAACAAATAAATCATGATTAGTTCAGTCATGAATATCAACAATTGTGTCATGTTTTAAATCCGAAATCCCAAATCACTTCTCTTCTACTGCTAATCCCAAATTCCAGTTTGATTCTCCCAAAAATGTCCATAATCCCCACAACTCTTTCACAAATCAATCCATTGAACCACAATTTTTTATTGTTCTTTTTTTTCTTTCACAAATCAACTTCAGTCGATCCACAAATTTCAGACAAAGAGGAAAGATATCTCCGAGTCACTCTACAAAATTTCCATTATGACAAAAGTCATATTCCCTTAAAAAAAAGAGAGTTTTGACTTGTCATACAACAATCTAACATTTACATAAATTTCCAATATGGCAAAAGTCATCTTCTCTCAAAAGAAGAGTTTTGACTTGTTATACCACAATCTAACAAAGCAACAAAAATTTCAAGCAAGTCGTCTAAAACATGGTCAGAATCACTCAAGACAAAAGATCGATGGTGGTCTACAAGTTTTTCATTACTCATGTTCTGAAGGATGAGAAAGCAGTCAATACAATCAAAGTAAACTGAGTCTCCAACTCCGAATCAGTTGAAGGAAGGATATTAAAGATTATGATTAATAGTAGTTGAGAGAGGATTTAATTTAGTGATAATTATTCCTGGAAAATTATCAAGAGTGATTATCAGGAGTAGTTTTTATCTAATAGTGTAGTAGTTTTTATCTAATAACATAGAATGTCTATAAATATGGCATTAGTTCTTTATTTTGGAGATAAAATCAATCACAATGTAGCCATTCAATTAATTCACCTCTCGTTTCTCTTTTATTGATGCTTTTCATATTTTATTTTTCCTCTTCATATTTTATTTTTCTTCTCGTTCCTGTTACGTAGAAAAATTGGAAATTCTTACAGAAAGGACTACTATGTTTAACCATTTTGTTAGGATGTGGAAACAAAAATCGAAACTATGATGTTTAACCCTTTTCTCCCATCAAAATTCCTACGCTATGAAAGTTTTTATTTGTTTCTGACTTTTTGTTGGTTCTTCTATACTGCTGACCGAAGCAAGTTGGTCAAAATCGTTGTCACGAAAGTTCTGAGGGATGTAGATTTTGACTGGTCAAAACTGCGATTTCATGGGGACATGAGAATGTAGACTTACAGCCGAGCTAATTCGTCCTCCTGATTCCCAACAAATTAAACAGTAATCTCCAAAACAGTAATCTTCATCCATATCATCCTTTTAGAGCCAAGGCATTTTAATTCTCTTTAGTTTTAATTGTTGTGAATTAAATTGGATATATGTCTTCTTTCTTTTCTTTTAATTATTTCTCTAATGGAGCACGATTGATGCACAAAAACACATTTTAGCGGATTTTCATCCCACAAAAGAAATGAAACATGAAAAAATCGCGTATGACGTTACTTCTTTGCGTGAGTCGTTTTTCCAAGAAGAACATATATTCCATGGACGGCTCGAATCGAAAACGAAACTTTACAGTTTGAAGTCTCTGAGAACCCTTTCACTCGTGCCACATGGCCATCTGATTTGGTTAACCATCTTTGTCACTTCTCTTTCGTTTCTTATGCCCCTGTATGTGAAAATCAGGCATTTGCAATACTACAGTTTCATGTGTGAAAACTCTCAAGAGTCAGGTCTCATCCACCCCATCCTATACTGCAAATTCTGCCAAATTTGAACCTTTTAAGGTCTAAAAGTACCAGAAAGAGTAACTACAGTAGTACTAAAAAAAAGAAAACCCTCCCTTTTTTCTGTCCATCACAGTTCACACAATGGATGATCGGTGGTCAAATTGTAAGAATATACGGAAACGGGTGTCGGTTCAAGGATCCTGGAGCGTCCACTTCCAAAAAGGTATTCACCGTCCTATTACCAAACCAAACGTTTATAAATAATAAACCACTAGCAGCAATTTCTTCATAACTAGTTCATATTTTTCATCCAATATTTTGGAAGCAAAAACGTACGTCATATACGCACACAAAGAAGATGGCAAAGGTTCAATTTGTTATTATTCTGTGCATCTTGTGGACGTCATTATTTTTGTTGAACTTTGCGCATTGTCGAGTTCTTCATCATCATCATTCTTCCTCTAGTAGTAGTAATGCTGCGACATATTTTGATCAAAATAATCATGGAGCTGGCAAAATGGGCAAAAATATGGTTAATAACCTTGCTCCTGCAGTTTCTTTTTCCAGTAAGGGTGACTTCAACACCGGCAGCGGCGGCAGCAAGGGTGATCCATTGAGAGGCTTAACGGCCAGTTTCGCTTCGGGTCCGAGCAAGAAAGGTCCCGGCCATTAGATTTTCTATAAGTATTAAGTAGGAGTACAGGATAGTTGATTTTATAGATATACACCAAATATCTACAGATATCTTTCCGGTGTAAAATTTTTTGTAGACGAAGTTGCTAATCTTCTGTGATCAATACGTGATAAGTCAGTTGATTGATTTCTCAATGAGGAAATTTTCGTTTTTAACTTTAGTCTGTACTAATCACTAATCCCATACTAAGAATTTGCCCATTAAATATGACGTTCTTTTGTCATGTTTTTCGGTTGTACTATTACCCACAGCAAAGTGCAAACGAAATCTTGGAAACTACAACCAATTGAACTGGAGGTCTAAAACCCTTTCCTCATGAAAATGAATTTTCTCTTTCGGGTTTTCTATCACGGTCGATGCGGAAACAAGCAGAGACAGTTGGCAGTCAAATTGTACCAAAATAGAACAGTATGAATGATCACTTCTACACTTAGCAACCTTGTGAGTTTCTGAATTCAACAGCTAATTGGTCTCGGGGATAGTAGCTATTGTTGTCGATAAGGGGGAAAAAAAAAAGGAATCAGGAAATACGTTGAGAGCAATGTGAAAAAGGTTCCATGTATACTGCAGCTAGCTAGCGTAATGGAAGAAGTCTTTGCTGCCGACCTTTTCCCAGTTTGCTCGTCTGTATTCTTACACACCAAAATGTTTACAATGAAAAAAGTGGCAAACCAAAGTCAAGTAAAGTGAATTTTCGGAGGAAAATCGAGTCATCGCACTCAATAACAGTCATTCTTCAATTGAATCAATTATCTTCCTGTTCCCCTAAACGAGAAAAGTATAATACAAATGCCTGTATAGTTAGAAAAAAAAAAAAAAAAATGAGTCGAAGAGTGAGGGACACCGTGGCATGATGTGAATCTGATGGAGATGTCTTACCAAAATTATGTCCCCAGTACCCACCGTGTCCAAGAGGTAGCTGACTTACCAAACATATATTCAGCATACGTGCAGATGCGCTGATTTTGTTTCTTCAGTTAAATACGCCGCCCGATTTTCAGAATGCGAAAGTTAGAAATTCTAATTCTAGTCATACACAACTCCCAGCTTGAAACCTAGTCACCAAACTATGTACCACTCTACTAATTTATCCTAACCTCCTTAAAGAGGTCAAGGGGCCTTGTTTGATAATTGCACCATCATTCATCAGCTTGACAGCACAAACAGAGCAAACTAAGTACATACCCAAACAAAAGGACTCATACTGTTGTTAACATGTGACGGCTTTTCTTGCCCTTGCAAATCTAGAAGAAGAAAGATCGTTCGCTTAGCTTGTGTAGAAAAACAATCTCGTTAGTAAAGCAGCTTAGTTTTTCTGTCTCACCTACTTTCTTCATTCTCTATTTCTCTGAGATGTTCTTCCATTTTCCCTTTCTTCCACTGTCTTACCTAACCTCTCTTTACCCTCCACCTCCTTTCAGTACATCTATCCTCTCCCCTTCTCTGTTACTTTTCTGGTTCTTACCTTCCAAGTTTTCTTTCCCACTAATTGAAAAAATTTTCCATCTCCAGTTCCAAATCGGGACTTAGCTCTCACTTTACCTCTCTTTCTCTACATCCCAAAGTCCTCTTTCATGTTTTCTTTCTACCTCTACTCCACTTTAAATTCATCTGAAGTATGTATTGTACAAGGGAAACCCAGAAAAAAAAAGATGAACAATTTTGGTTCTCACTAATACAAACAAATCAGGCAACCAGTAGAATGTTTCTCGGGTAAATGAGCCAAGTACCTAATGATCTAGCATATGAAATAATGCTAAGATTAATCTAAGAAGCATCCCCAACAAGATTCAGAGTTAAAAATAGCACTGAAGACAACCAGTTCAATCTAGCTATATGGGATCTGTAACAGGGCGCAGAAACACAAGCATTCAAAAGCGAGAAAATGACAATCAGAAAGAGAGAAATAGAACTGTTAAAAATGATGCCATACACAAATGGCGAACAATACAGAGCACACCAAAGAAATTATGAGAATCAAATCACTGCAGCACAGGATTCACAAGATCTGTGTATGCAACATGACCTCCACAGCTTTGTAGGATATAGAACTGTTAAACGCGATGCCACGCACAAACAGTGAAAGATACAGAGCATACCCAACAAATTAAGGGAATCAAATTGCTGCCACACAGAATTCACAAAATCTGTGTATGCAACATGACCTCCACAATTTGTAGGGTCCTAAACCAAACAACTGATCCTAAACCTGCATCTCCTTCACTATAAAAACTAAAACACAAGGGAGGGAGTATACAGGGAACCTGCAATAGAATATGTATACTAGCAAGAGAGGTGAGAAAAGTGTACAGGGGAAAGTGCGAGTAAGTGATGCAACACAAACAAAAACCGGAAATCTGTAATAAATATGGAGAAAAAGCGTCTGGCTAAAAGTGAGAGTAACTGAAGGGCAAATCTAACAAAACTAAAAGACAAAAAAGCAAACACGCAATCCGTAATAAATACGGATGCCCAAATGGGAGAAGAGGAATCGTATGGAAAAAGTGGGAGCAACTCACTTGCAAATCTAACTAAACAGTGAACTAAAATCCAAAGCTGTTCTTCTGAGGCAAATGATACAGCAAAAACATGCTCTTATGATTGTCAGAAAATAAATGCAAACTTCTTTGTTTAGTGCTAAACCTCAATAATTTCTGGCAATATTGAAACCTCGTAGAGAAAACTAAAACCTTCCCTCTCCTTCCTTTTTGAGGAAGGGCAAAAGGCATCACAGGAGTTTAAGGAAGAATAATTTTATAGTGAAAACCTCAAGGACAATTAACTTCACAGCAGTGAACAAAAAGTTCGAAATACAATGTTTCCTCTTCAGATGTCACAAAAGGTATGTACACATTAATTACATTTCAAAAAGTAAATAGGGCTAACTCATCCTTTTGTAACACTTACCACAGAATTGACCATCAAACATTCAACACAAGGCTGACAACCTCTTTTAGCATGTTATGGATAACACACGGGAGGATAAGAAAAATTAGCTATCTGAATCTACTAAGATCACCAATCACTTTAATTTTCAAGAACAATATCAAACACGCCATCAAGATTCAGAAAGACATCTTCACCTAGGACACCAATATAATGCAGCATGCACGTTCTAGATAAATATTAAGTTCTGTACAAGAAAGGCAGCATATCTAACAGGGCATCGATTGCTCTTCACATATTTTCAGAATAGGGGACCAGAGGGAAAGAAACCAAGGCTATTTGACATTTGAAAAGCGCCTAACACAAAGAAAGTAGAACATGACAACTACATCTACATGGTGTCGACAAACTTTAAACATCTTTCTTCTAATAAACATAAGCATAGAATGCAGACATCCATTTCCCAACAGTCGTGGGGCCAAAGTTTGCACTCAGTCCATCAAACACCAAAAATTGAACAAGTAACAATTATGCTGCTTAGATAGGCTAAATGTTTTAATTAACACAAATTAACTCAGTACATACTAGCGCACGAATTTGCCTCAAATTCCTAGATCAGTTCCAAGGCACCCCTGGAGCAACAACAATAATTCATCCATGCACATGGGGAGGAGATTTCTACTTCAAATAACAGAGCCTCAAAAACACAAACAAGCAGCAATGAACAAGAAATGCAAAGACATTAAAGCGAACTTACCAAAGAAAAACAAAAAATGACGGGAAAAAATCCATCAATAGATCTACAAAAACATTGTAGATAGGGGCAGCACAAATAACCCCAAAATCTCCAGTAATGGAATTACAAATTCAAGCCTGAATGAAGCACGGAGATTAAGTAGTCCAGAAACTAAGCCCTAGAATATAAAAAGTATCTCACAGGCAAATTACTGATATATGAACTGAAAGCCCTATATTATTAACCTCGGGAGATTCACTCTTGAGCAGGTCCCTCATCCTCTTTCCCCTCTTCCTTTACACCAGCAGCAGGTCCAGTTTCCTCGTTCGACGCCGGAGCAGCATCAGCAGCAGCTGGAGCAGCAGAACCAGATCTGCTCTTGACAAAATCGATCATGCGACGAGAGATCTCCTTGGAATAAGTCTGCAGAATCTCGATCCCGTCGTCATCGGCGGATGTGGTAGCAGGGTTTGCAGCTGTGAAGGCCTCGTCCTCAATCCGTTTGGCCTCAGCCTCGGCGTGGCCCTGAGGAACGACGCCGTACCTCTTGGACAACACGGAAGTAGACGACAGCGTTTGGACGAGGCGGGCGATTATAGCATCGCGAGTGCGCTGAGTCGGCGGCCAAATGCTGAACGAGACGTTGCCGGTGCCGGCGGTTTTCTTGTCCTCGGAGGAAACGACGTCGGTCTCCTCCGCCGATGTCACTTCCGATTTCACTGGCGTTTCGACTGTAGCTTCTTGCGAGGTGGTTTGGTGGTGATCCATGGCAGCTTCTTCGGCCATGTTTTTCGTTTTCCCTTTGGGAGTGAGGAGTGGTGAAGACGGTTCTGCTGTTTGTTTGTTGGTTTCGGTTTGAGAGAAAACTGAAAATGAAAAAGAGGGGAATTGGAAAAGATTATTTATGTCGTGTTGGGTAACTGGAAAAGAAAATGTAATAATAATAATTGTATTAATCGTATTTTCTGTAATAATAAGAATTAATTAATTATTTTCTTTTTCAGATAAACGAATCGTATTCTATAAGCTACTTGCGGTCAAATCCTGTCAAAAGTGTAAAAGGTAAAATTTAATAATGTACAATAACGTCTTCATTCCCCCTGTTTTTCTTTTTTTAATTGAAAATTGACATGAATAAACATTTTTGTGCCGTGTAATTTTGAAAGAGAAGGGAGGCAGCCTAAGTACATTTTAATATGGGGAATGTATGTTAATGCCTAATTAAATTCATCAACGAGGGTTAATTCAAGTTATCGGATAAAATAATGTTTGTTATGCTAATAATCAATCGTAATAATAATGTAAATGTTAAAAAAAAACACACACACACACACACAAATTCTATCAGACGAGCTTTGTTTTATATTTGACCAGTAAGAGATTAGAAGAGATTATAGGATTAATTGTTACACACTTAATTCAAAAGAGATAATATACGAATTTTTGTCCCCCAACATTTCGTGTCCGTTATAGATTTTTCCCCTAACCTTAGTAGCTTTTAACAATTCTGGAAAAGTAGTGGTTAATTTAGTCCCACAAAGGCACAAACTACAACAAATTTTGGCTGATTACTGGACAGTAGTAAATGTTTGAAGAGCAATTTTCCGAGGCTTACAGAAGGCCTCCAATGGCGTTTCTTTACTCAGGGTGAAGCCAGACGATTCCGTCATGTTCACCGGCTCCTCCGCAACAAGTTTCTCAAACTCAAAGGATTGAATCAATGATCCCAGCGTTAACCCAATAACCCGCCTAGCCAAATTGGTTCCCGGACAAGCTCGCCGTCCGACACCAAACGGCAGCATCTTGAAGCTGAACCCTTCTCCTCCTGCCCCGCCGTCGAATCTCTCCGGCTTGAATTTCTCCGGTTCATCCCATAATTCAGGATCCCTCTGAATCTTCCACATATTGGCTACCAACACCGTGTCCTTTGGTATATGATACCCACTAATTTCACAATCTTCTGATGATCGATGTGGCAGAAGCAGAGGTTGAACAGGGTATAATCTTAATGTTTCAGAAACGACATTGTCCAGGTAATTCAGCTTTGGAAGATCGGTTTCCTCCAACAATCGATCTTCTCCGACAACTTTTTGTATCTCGGTGATTGCTTTCTTCATTGCTTCTGGATGGTTTAATAAAAGTGAGATTGCCCATTCCAAGGTAGTGCTTGTGGTTTCTGTTCCAGCACCCAGCAGAGACTACAAATCAATGAATCAAACACCGTTATTAAGCTAAAAAATTGAAGGCCGTATTCTGAAATAGTAACAGAAAATTCATAATTTCATTACCAGAGTAAGAGCTTTGATAGTCCGATCAGTCAGAAATTCCGGCTCTGTGTCTTGGGCCGACAACAGAGTATCTATGAATGTCTTTTTTTGGGTTGTATTCGATTCAATCTTACGTTTTCTGTGTTCATCAACAATGTTCTGAAGCAATCGGTCTACCTTGGTCATCACAATCACCATTTTCTTCTTCAATCCTCTGAAATCCGTAAACCGGAAAATCGGGAAATAATCTTCCAAATTCAGGTCTCCACGAAACGACACCATCTCTTTGAGAACTTGTTGGAATTGTTTGGCTTCTTCCTTCTGGGCCACATTCTTCCCGTAGTAACGTTTTCCGGCTATCATTCTCATCATGATGTTGAGTGTAAGGTCAGAAAGTTTTGACCGTAAATTCACTTTGACTGGCTTTTTAACATCGGATTCAACCCATTCTTCATAAATTTCCCTGTTCATCAAACTGATTTCTTCTTGCCTGATGCTCGTAAACATTGCCAGACGATTTTGGTTCAACATTTCAATTGCTGCAATTCGCCTTAAGTTTCTCCAGTTGTCACCGTAGGAAGATAAACCAATTATACCGTTGTCGTAAAACAGCAGTTTTCCAGCAATTGTTTCATCGCGATTAGCGAAAACAATATCATTATTCTTCGTGAAGCATTCTTCTACTGCCTCAGGTGATGAAATCACGACCATTTTTCGTACTCCGAGTTTCAGCAAAACCACATCTCCATATTCTTGGGAGAGTTTCAACAAGGTTCTGTGCATTAACGGTCTTTTAAGGATATGAAAATGACCGATAAACGGAAGACCCTTTGGGCTTGGGGGGACATTTTTAGGCTTTCTGAAGAAAAGACTAATGGATCTGAGAAGAATATAGGAGATGAGGAATAAGAAAACTTTGTTAAGGAACTGGAGATCTACTGCCATTTTTTGTTATTTCTTAAGTTTGAATACGGCCTAATTGCTGCATTTTGTACTGATTGCCAAGCAGGTTTGCGGTCTCTGTCTACTGACTACAAAACTCCACAATTAACTGATCATGTCTAAGGATTTCCGCTCAATTATTGTAAATATAATGTATAAAAATATAGTTGATAAGATTTGCCAAGTCAAATTTCCATATAAGTTGATTTAAAAAATCCAGATAGAGCTGGACCTCGTAGCAAGGATAGGGGAGTGACTACTAGAGCTGGGCATGGGCTGGTGAATGAGGAATGGTGTGAAGGGAAGTACGAAAGAGTAAAAGGGAAGAGAATATAGCATCTAATTCTGGTGCGGAGGTAGTTCGGAATAGCGAGGGAATGGTGTTTGACTTTGGTCAAATGACTATGGGGAAAGAAATTAGGTCTGACCTATTGAAATAACAGAATGTCATTTTAGTGAAAATTGGACTTGATCCAACAAAACATAAAGCTATAATAATTATGACAGCCCGATCCAAACACCCAGAACTCACGTAGACCAAATGAGTTTGATCCTGGAGAAGACCGAATGGTGAATTGTGACTTTTGTGGTCTACTCGATGATGAAACCATGAATGAGGCGATGGCGTTGGGATCTACATCCCAAGTAACACATGAGGAACAATGCTCTCTCTTGCCTAATGTTTCATCATGAATAAAGTCGGTTGGAAGTATCAAGGGGTTGACTCGAATGTTATAGTATTTTAATTTGTTAGGATTTGCTTTTTAAGGTCAGTATTGTTATTTTTTATTACGCTCCAGTGTAATAACTTATTAATTTAGGCTTTTTAACCTCCTTCATTGTACCAAAAAAAAAAAATCCAAATAAAGTTTACTGATTGCCATATTGTTTCATCTTTGCCGAGTTCGGATCTCTTGTTCCATTATTTGTGTCCCACCTTTGTCCCACTCTATAAACTTACGTAGTTTTAAGTACCAAGTATTAGTAGCTAAAACAAAGAAACGGCTCCAAAGCCAACTAAGCCGACTAAGACTTTTATTTTTTTTTTTTTTTTTCCCCTTTTGCCGTTCTTGATCATCATCATCATCATCATCGGCTCTTCATCTTCACCACACTCTCGTCGTCTTCCCCCAAAATTCTTGGGCCTCATCCCGCAATTAAGGATTTGGCTTGATCGGTTCTTCAATAAATCATCAAGGAGCAAACAAAGGACAACTTCAGCAAATGTAAGAGATTCAGTAGCTCAGATCTATCCCAACATTGAGGTTTAATTTTCGAATATGTTTTTATTTCTCATTTAATCCTATATGTATAATGAAAGTTTTTTTTTCCCCTTTATGAGCAGCAGGGTAGAGAAGAAAATTTTGAAGCTATCTCTAATGCATCCATTATACCAAATCAAACCACCAATCGGCCTGAGGTTTGTTTTATTTTTCAATGCATTAATAGTTGGGGTTCACTTCGAAGTTAATTATTATTAATGTATTTTTCTTTTAATTTTCCAGCTCACTTACCAGATGCAACGTCCAGATATTTGTCTTGAAACACATTCCATGAACCCTTTGCCAACACAAACTCCAGCCATTTGTGTTGAAACACAATCCATGTACACTTTGCCAATACAATCTCCACAGGTATAATAAGGATTTCGAAGCAGTTAATGAGACGGCTGGTTTTTTTTTTTATAAAAAATATCGAATGAGAGTTTCTGAACTATATGAATCTTCTATTTATTAAACAGGTTGTTTTTGAGGGATCAAGTCAACAAAGTTTTTCTTTTGAGAATTCTCCACTTATGTCCATGACAAACTTGCTACTGGTATGTATTTTTTTTTGGGGGGATGGATATTTGTTTTTTCTTTGTTGTCTTTTGAGATCAATATGAATAATTGGTTTGTAAACTATCATTATTACAGGCACAACAACCACTTGGTTTTGTTGATTTGATTACAAACAACTCCTACCGCTGTGATAATGCTAATTATGATCTTGATCCCGAGAATTCTAATTTTAGTGAGAAATGTGATTGTCCATTTCCATGCCCAAACATCATGTTTTGTAAGAGCAAAACAAAAAAATTAGGGAGAATGGTTTTGTTATGCCACTCATATTCTTAAGACGTAGTGTTGAATTTGGTGAACTTCTAATGTTGTAGTGGTTGTGAAATAAGGGAAGTTCTTTGACATTTTTAAAACTCTTGTTTTTGCTATCGAGCTTTAGTTCATGAAATTCATGATAGATAAAATTTCAAACATCGAACTACTCTCAAATTCAATGACTTGATATACCAAAAAAAATGATTATGAGGAAACACAAACTCAATTTGTGTTCGAAGTTATTGGAGCTGAAATTGAAGTCATATATGCAAAAAATTATACCCTTGATCCTAATTTATTATTTCTGTACACATTACTAAATTCATACATGTAACAAACTTAATCGTATCGTATATTCTTTGAGGAAGTGCAAAAACTTTATGGACGAATGACTTAGGCGATGACCTCCCAGCAAAGAGCTAAGGACTTTGGCAATCGGTTTGCTGGAAGGGAACCAAGTAGTCGTCAGGACTTCACTTCATTAAATCAGCATCCCTAAGATGTTGTTCACAGGCTGATTTCCTCAGGTCTTTTTACAAAACTAATGATGCATCTACAACAATGGTGTATCGAAGGTTAAACATACTGCAATTGTCTGTGCATCCTCCTCCCAATTTAGACATGATACAGCAACCGTGTGCAGTTTTATGCTCCGTAATAGCTTCCCGTTCTGATTCACATAAGATGCAACCAGAAAAAAGACAAGTAAAAAGTTAGAAGCACAATATACTTGAACTTAACAATGGAGACATTAGCAAGTGTGAAAGCAAGGGTAGTTTAGCTAACATCTTAAGATGACAAAATCAATTTAACAAACACATCCACATGGTTAAAAGAACTGAGGAATTTCCTAAAAAACCAGTTGTGAAGTTCGTACATTAAAAGTTATGCTCTTCCCTGCATTAAAAAGTACGTACATAATCTTACTCCACTAGGAACTATGTATACACCAAACAGCCGAGACCGAAGCTAATATTCACACAATCTGAGGTTAACTATTTAACCATCAGATTCTAATAACATGAGATTTCTTTTTCATCTGGTAAAATTCAAAAGTTTTTCAATATTTCCAGATGAAGGGAGGGAGACAATAGTTGTAAGAGACCATGTATCAAACAGTTGTAATACAAATTCACTGCTCGAAATTGGGGTTCATTAGAGTCCCCAAGCCTAGTGCATTATGTTCATTAACCAACATTAACACAACCCAATTTGTTTGAGCTCGTGGGTCGATTGATAACACCAACAGAGACCCTTCTATCTATCAACACCCACTGTTCAACCAAAATAAATGGAGGAAACCAAAATCTGCTACACAATAAAGAAAAACAGTGAGAGGGGAAAACTCCAATTCAAAGGCCAAATTTCATATTAATTCCAAAGATAGCACATATTTAAACAGAAAAAATGTTGAATCTCCTCAATTCGGAAGAATCAAAATCAGCCTTAAATCTGACCAAAGATCAGTTAATTATGAAAAGCTAATAAGAGCAATTCATTATGCTAAATTTTGTATCGGATTGGACAAGTTCTTAATTCCTATTGAGCTCTGCAACGTATATCCAACTTCAACATTCTAAGAACATTACAACAAACCAGAACCATATTTGATTTCCTCAAAAGAAAACACAAATCCTGAAGCATTTGATGGATGGAAATAAAAAGCCCCAAAATGTAAAAATCAAAAACTTTGAGGGAAGAAAAGCTTAAAACCTTTGATAGAAGAAAAGCTTAAGACCTTAAATTTTATCACTTCAGAATCAAAAAAATTCCCAAATCAAGAAACAAAGAACCGATGACATACCGTGCAATTTCGCCGGGGTTAAGACGGATTCCCTCGATGTTGGCGAAGCGACGGAGATCGGAAGTGACAGAAGCGGTCAATTTCAAATTGATGGCATTGACATCGCGATAGAGATCGCCGAAATAAATTTACAATCGCTGAAGAATTTAGAGAGTGTGATGAAGAGGAAGAGCCGATGATGATGATGATGATGATGAACGGTGAAAGGGGAAAAAAAGAGAGTTTTCGTCGGCTTAGTTGAGACTATGGAGCCGTTTCTTTTTTTTAGCTACTAATACATTGATAGGCTTGGTACTTAAAACTATGTATTTTATAGAGTGGGACAAAGGTGAGACACAAATAATGGGACAGGAGATCCGAACTCATCTTTGCCGGACATGTTGTAGTAAGTAGGCAATTGATTCCAAAATGGATGTTAATTTCGTCTATCACTCCCTCCAGCACCAAAAAAAAAAAAAAATCATGCTTAGCGTAGTGTCTAATAAACAAAACTCTTATTTGAGACGGAAAGAACATTATATTTTAGATAATTGATTGTAATAGTAAATCACTTGCTTGTGACGAGATTAAAAGTCGCATTATAATTGGTGATGATTTTTTTTTTAAAATTTCTTGATTATGTAACATATCATTGAGCAAAGAAGGGAAAAATAAATTACAACATTATGACTAAACCCTTGACGAATCATTTATTTCAGCATTGCTTCGATAAACTTCACATGCTTCTTGTATGATCTTCAGTTTGAGAGACGTGTTAATGTATATTCTAAAACCTTGTAGAATAGGGTTCTTTTATACTTTGTATCATAATACACGTGGTTAATACAATCCAATTATTTGAGTCCCGCCATCATTCTTTTTTAGACTGAATGAACAGCTGCAAATTCTATAGTTGCTGCTTTTCTTGGCTTGCAGAAAACTTCCAATGGCGTTTCTTTAGGCATGGTAATGCCAGAAGATTCAGTCATGTCCACCGGCTCATCATCAATGAGTTTCTTCAACTCAAAGGATTGAAGCAAGGATCCCAATGTTAACGCCACAACACGCCGTCCCAAGTTAGCTCCGGGACAAGCTCGCCGTCCGGCGCCAAACGGGAGCATCTTGTACCCTTCTGCTTCTTTTCCTTCAAATCTTTCCGGTTTGAATTTCTCCGCGTCGTCCCACAATTCGGGATCCCTTTGAATTTTCCATATATTAGCTATCAACATCGTGCCCTTTGGTATATGGTACCCACCAATTGCGCAATCTTCTGATGATCGATGTGGCAGAAGCAGAGGAAGGGCAGGGTATAATCTTAATGTCTCTGTGATAACATTGTCCAGGTAATTCAGCTTCGGAAGATCGGCTTCCTCTAACAATCGATCTTCTCCGACAACTTGTTGTATCTCAGTGATGGCTTTCTTCATTGCTTCTGGATAGTTTAATAAAAGTGAGATTGCCCATTCCAATGTAGTAGTTGTAGTTTCAGTTCCAGCAGCCATCAGTGACTGCAAGTAAGACTCTTTTAATATAGGTATGTATATAGTACTTCTTCCTTCCGTTCCAAAAAAATAGTTCAGTTTTTGGAATTTGTACTTAAAACAGTACACATTTGAAAACTTAATGGGAATTGTTATTATTTTTTTTTGGAATTGTACGTTTTACTAAAATAGACTGTTTTTCTGGGACGATGAGCAATCCAGAAAGATGCATAAACTAAAGAATAGAGGGGAAAAATTCTATCAAAAAAAAAAAAAAAAAAGAATATAGGGGAAAAAGGAAAAAAAAAAAAGAAGAAGGTTAATTTCATAGTTCATACCAGATTAATTGCTTTGATGGTCTGATCAGTAAGAAACTCTGGTTCTGTTTCTTGAGAAGAAAGCAGAATGTCAATGAAGGTCTTCTTCCCCTCTTTATCATCCCCATCATTGGATTCATCAAATGGTCCGATTCGATGTTTTCTATGCTCATCAACTAAGTTTTGGAGAAATCGATCGAGCTTGTTCATTACCATCACCATTTTTCTCTTCAACCCTTTGATATCCACAAGCCGAAAGATTGGGAAATAGTCTTCCAAATTCACAACTCCATGAAACGAGACCACTTCTCGTATGACCTCCTGAAATTGCTTTGCTTCCTCATTCGTGACATCTTTTCCGTAGTATCGCTTTCCGGCTATCATTCTCATCGTGATATTAAGTGTAAGCGCCGAAATCTTCGACCTCAAATTCACTTTAACTGGATTCAATTCATGGCACTCTTCATATATTTCCCTAAGGATGAATCTGACTTCTTCTTGTCTGACACTTGTGAAATTCGCGATACGATGTTGGTTTAAGATTTCGATTGCTGCAATGCGCCTTAGATTTCTCCAGTAATCGCCGTAGGAACATAGACCAATTGTGCTATAATTGTAATTCAGCAACTTCCCAGCAACCATTTCAGCGCGATTCGCGAAAACTATGTCCTTCTTCTTCGTGAAGCATTCTTCTACTGCTTTTGGTGATGAAACCACCACAAGTTTTCGCACCCCGAGTTTCAGAAACATCACATCTCCATACTCTTGGCAGAGTTTCACCATTGTTCTGTGCAATGGCTTTTTAAGGAGATGGAGATGACCGATGATCGGTATAGCTTTCGGCCCAGGTGGTTGGTTTTTCGGGTTTCTGAACAGAAACCATAAGAACCTGAAAACAACATAAGAAGCCAGGAATATGAGAACTGAGTTAAGGATTTGATACCCGCCCATTTTTTCCACAATGCTGTTTTAGAGTGTAAGCTCTAAATTGCAACTATATTTATGACCGTTGTCTCGTTTTTAATAGTCTACTTGTTGAACTATTTCGAAAGATGGATGGAGTATGATGGACTAGGCCATCATGGTTTTACTTTGTTTTTAGTTAAAGTGTGGTTTCTTGCCTCCTTCTTTGTAATAAAAAAATAAAGACTAAAATGTCCAAATGGTCCCTTACATTTAGGCTTACTTGATTTTATGTCCCTAACATTAACATTTATCGTAGTCTCAAATAATATGTTTTCACACTTTTTTGGTTCCATTCACTGTTTCGACCACTTTCTCGTCCAACTCGATGTTGACCAGCAGTTGACATGCTGGAATCAGGAGTATTTTTGTCTTTTTATATAATTTAAACTTCTATTAAAATTTAAATCATTAAAAATATTATAAACATTCACATTTATTATTTAATTATTAAAATATTATTTATTAATTTAAAATATTATTTTAAAATTTTAACATTTAAATTATTTTCAAAATTACTTTTTTCTTTACTAAATTAAATGTTAATTATGTTACACTTTTAACCGCCCACTGTAACTTTAAAAATTTACCGAGTTATAATAAATAATTCAAAATTCAAATTAAAAAAAAAAACAAAAAAGATTTTTGACTTTGACAGCTACAATAAATCTTAAGTTATTTTTAAAATTTTACCGCGCTATAATAATTAATTAAAATTCAAATTTTTTTATAAAACAATGCAAGAAAATTGTGGGGTGAAAAGTTGGATAAAAAATAGTTTATTTAAGTTTTTGGATTAGTTATTGCTTTGAATTGAAGATATAATTTAAAATGTGATTTTAGTGAAAATTCAAAAAGTTGTTGGAATAGAAATTCAAATAAAATAATATTATCTACACAACACCACCTCCACACCTCCACCGACGCCGCCCGCCGCCGAACCACCTCCTGCCACCGCCGGCCGGATTCCGGCGAGCTGTATAGATAATATTATTTTATTTGAATTTCTATCCCAACAACTTTTTGAATTTTCACTAAAATCACATTTTAAATTATATCTCCAATTCAAACTATAAATTAAAATAAACTATTTTTTATCCGGATTTTCACCCCCTCAATTTTCTTCCCTTTGGGGCCGCTAGATTTTTTACTTCGACCGAATAAAAAATTGGTAGGTGAAAATTCGGATAAAAAATTTTGTTTGCCTTTTCTTTTTAAACAAAAAATTAAATTTTGAATTAGTTACTGTAGCGCGGTAAAATTTTTGAGTGAGATGGAGTTAAAATGGAACGTAATTAATATTTATTTTGTATCCAGCATAAATGATAAATAGAAAAAAAATTTTTAAAAATAATGTAAGTTTTAAATTTTATAATAATATTTTAAATTAATGAATAATATTTTAGCAATTAAATAATTAAATGTGAACTTTATGATATTTTTAATGATTTAAATTTCAATGAAAGTTCAAATTAAGTCAAAAAACGAAAATACCTCTGATTCCGGCAAGACGGAAAAGTGACCGAAACAGTGAAATGGGACTAAAAAAGTGTGAAAATATAATATTTGGGACTACGATATTGAAATGTTAATGTTAGGGACATAAAATCAAGTAAGCCCAAATATAAGTAATCATTTGGACATTTTAGTCAAAAATAAAATAAAATAAAATGTAGTTTCTTATCCTACAAATTTCGGAAGATTCGTGAATGTATGCGTCATTTGCGTTCTATACAAGAGAAAGAAACTAAATTTATAATGTTTGAGCTTTGATTTGGTGATTAAATAATTGTCTCATTGTGGCGGCATCTTATGGAATCTTCAATTTGGCAATCTTTGTAGTTGCTTTCTTGATGTAATCTTTCATCTCATTGACATTTTAGGCAGGGTCAATGGGAGCAACTTATAGAGAACAAATCATCGTTGGTGGAGATCCATGGGGACAAATGGCTACGGTATGTTACATACTTACAGTGGCGGAGCTAAGGGGACGGAGGGTGCGGTCGCACTTACTTGATTTTTTGTAATTAGTAGTGATGTCTTAAATTTTTAATAGAAAATTACATATTTTATAATTTTCGCACCCCTTACATTAATTTCGTAGTTCATTAGTAAGTTTTTTCTAAATTCGCGCCCCTTATCTATATTTCCTGATTCTGCCACTACATAGACTCTGGAGATGAAACATATTCTTAGAGAGTTGAATTATTGTGTCCCATTATGTGACTTCATTCGCAACTGTTGTTCTAAGGTTCGATTCAACGTCCTTTTGATCTACTAATAGATATTAAACCATAATTGATACATGATGTAATTGATTATTTTTAAATTATATTTTTTTAAAAAAAATTATTAATTATAAATTATTCTCTACTTCAATATAAATTACTACTTAAATGCATAAAAATTATTCTCTATCAGTATATCACATATTGCTCCATTGATTTAAACTATTTTTAGACTATTAATACGGACATGATCGATTAATATAAATCGAGAAAAAGACAAGACAATTTGCGATCCAAAATGTGTCCCGTTTGTCAACATTCATACAAAGACCGTCAAGTCTGTCACACTTCTTAACTCATCGATCTTTTGACTTTGTTTTTCCTTTACATATTCTCTAGTAGTTAACATATTAGAAAAATGTAGCACCCAACTTACCCTCATGAATTAGGTAGCTAACATAGATAGAGAAGTAGAGATAAAAGTATCTATAAGCATATTTAGTGAAGAATGGTGACTAAACTATGATATTTTGTGTTTTTTTATTCAGGAAATGTGTTAATATATATAACGAATGCATTAACATTATAGATTTGACTTTAAACTCTTTCGTCTCATTTTTCTTTCTTCAGCTTTGACTATACTTTTATTTATTTATTTTTAGTTCTAAACTTCTAATAAAAAGGTTGGTGGAAATCAGGCCTCTTGCGAGACAGCGATTTTATTCGCAATGGAAATTCGATGCTAAATGACAAAACACATTTCCGCAATATGTAAAAGTTTGACCAAATCGTTTACTCTTTGTTTTGTTTTTTTGTTTTTGTTTTTGTCTTTTTTTCTTGAATAAAATGGTTTACTTTTTTTTTTTGGACAATAAAATCGTTTACTCTTAAATGGCATGATCACCAAGTACAGTATGTACTAAGAAAAATGAAAGAAGACCCTACTAGGTAGGGTTCCAACTTCCAAATTGGTAGACTACGTTCGGACTTCGGAGGCGTCAACATGTAAGAGCAATAGCCACTATGAAATGAGAATAATCATTTCCGATAAGACAAAATTTTATAAATTCCCCTAGTATTTTCTTTTGTCAAAGACGAAAATCATAAACTCTTTCTGTCCTAAAATTATTATCCAGCTTAAAATTTCACTTTTAGTACAATTTGAACTAAAAATGAAAATCTAAACTGGACAATAATTATGGGACGGACGGAGTACATAAAATTTAAAAAAAAAAAAAAGAAGAAGAAGGAAGAAACAGGTACAACCACAGATGGTGTGGGTAGATCCCGTTTCAACTTCCTCTTTTACATATTTAGTTTTTCCTTTAATTTGTAGGAATTATCTTTTAATCAAATTTCTCTATACAATGAAATATTTCTATTGAATGAGCGCAGGCAGAACATTCAGTTGAATTTACACCAAAATACGCCATTCATCAAGTTTAAATGCCATAATAAGTATTCCATAGTCCATACATCTCAGGAAATAGAACACACTATAATTTCCATTCATGAATTACGATATAGATTATACAAATTATTTTTGAGAGGCAATGGGAAAAATAACTAGTTTTATGTTTTCTCACTGAAATGATTGGGACAACCATTTCAAAGAAAAAAAAAATGAATGGGACGAAGTGTTAGTATCAACAAACAGTGTCACCAACAATGAATCATTCATATGAAATAATCGTGGCCATTAGACCATTTAGTCAACATCCACAGCAGAATATTTCTTAACCATAAACAAAATCGCAATGCCGAAAAATCAACTACGATGCCAAATTTGGAAACCTCAATTTAATCACTTTGAGAATTACATTCTTGAATGGCCTTAACTAATTATTTCTTACCAATATTACAGACCATAACAAGATTTCATTCTTGATGAACAATAGATATCAAGAAACAAAGTATACAAAACTACTGATCAATCTCCAAACTTTTGGTAAGCTTTACTTATTCCAATATGCTTATAAATATTGCAAGATACAGATTACAAAGCATGACTTACTGAGAACCAAAATTCTGAACAGTAATCTGGCGAGGCTTAAACAAGACTTCCAATGGATTTGCCTTAGGCATAGTCAAACCAGAACCCTGTTCCATATCCACCTCCTCATCACCAATCCTGCTAAACTCAAAACCCTGAATCATGGCTCCCAATGCTAACGTCACAACCCTCTTCCCCAAATTAGCTCCCGGACAGGCCCGCCGTCCGGCGCCGAACGGGAGCAACTTGTACCCCTCGCCGTCTTTCTGGTCGAATCTCTCCGGCTTGAATTTTTCTGGCTCGTCCCAGAGGTTTGGATCCCTTTGAATTGTCCATAAGCTGCACATCATCATGGTCCCTTTTGGTATGTCGTACCCAGAAAGTGTACAGTCTTCAACTGATTTGTGGGGTAGAAGCAGGGGAATTGGTGGGTACAACCTTAATGTTTCACTGATGATGTTGTTTAAGTAGTTCAGTTTTGGTACATCGGTTTCTTCCAACAATCGATCTTTTCCGACAACGGTGTCGATTTCTTCCACTGCTTTCTTCATTGCTTCTGGGTTGTTAAGCAGAAGTGACATTGCCCACTCCAGAGTAGATGTTGTGGTATCAGTTCCACCAGCAAGAAGAGACTGAAAAAATAAAAAAAATCAAAAGAACACAGAGAAAAACAGAGCAGAATCAGTATAAATCTTCTTTTGGATTTCTTTACACAGAAAGCTTTTATCAAAGTTCATAATTTAATGGGAAAAAACTGAAATTAATCATTACCAGGGTGATAGCTTTGATGGTCTGGTCAGTGAGAAAATCGGGTTCTTTGTCTTGCAAAGCAAGAAGAATATCCATGAAAGTCTTCTTGATGTCCTGGTTTGCATTAGTAGTCTGACCTGATCCATCCTTACGAACGTGATGCTGATTGACTAAGTTCTGAAGCAAACTATCAATCTTGTTCATCAGGACCTTCATCTGTTTCTTCAAACCTTTGACATCAAACAAAAGGAACTTAAAGGCCGGAATGTAATCTTCCAAATTCACAACTCCATGGAAGTGAAGCATCTCCCTGATCACTTGTTGAAACTGCTTTGCTTCATCATCGGTCACATCTTTACCGTAGTATCGCTTTCCGGCAATCATCCTCATCATGATGTTGAGAGTGAGATGGGCAAATTTGGGCCTCAACATCACCTTAGCTGGCTTCTTGGCATCATTGTATTCTTCCAACAATGCGCCCAAGAAATAACGCACTTCTTCCTGTCGGATGTTTCCGAACATGGCGATCCGATTCTGCGAGAAGATCTCCTGCGCCGTGATACGCCGGAGATTCCTCCAGTAATCGCCGTAAGAAGCCAAACCAATGGTGGTACAGTTGTAGTTCAACAGCTTAGCTGAAACTGTTTGGTTACGGTACGCGAAAATAACGTCGTTTTTGGTAAGGCATTCCTCGATTGCTCTAGGAGATGAAAGAACAACAACTGGTTTTTGCCCAAGTCGCAAAGAGAAAATCTCACCATACTGTTTGGCCATCTGGTGAATAGTTATGTGCATTGGTTTTTTCATCAGATGAAGATGGCCTATTATGGGTAGACCTTTTGGCCCTGGTGGTGCATTTTTAGGCTTTCTGAATAGAAGAGATATGAGCTTGATTACAACAATGGAGGAAATGGTAATCAAGAGAATGTTTTTCAGATCTTGATCAAGCAAATTTCCCATTTTCCCAAACTCCATCTTTCTATGTTTTTTTGTGAGTGAAGTGAAAGGTGGTGGTTTTGGCTATTTTGAAGCTGATTAATTATGAGGGTTTTATATATATGATGATGAGAAAGGCTTTGGTGGGCGAGTTTGACTGTAAGAATAATTTATTTGACAATTTCAGACTTTAAGTTAGCCAACGAGCGAATCCATGCAGTTTTAATAGAAAACGTTTTGCAACGTGATTTGTCATTTGTGGTGTTTCCTGTAGGATTTGGTGGGCGGATGAATTTATTGAATGAATAAGATGGGGAAATAATTTGGTACTAGGATAATAATCATTTACTAGATAGATTCCGAGTACAATTTTTTTGTGTGTACAATCGGCGCTATTGATAAAAGTAATAGATTTAAATAACAAAAGTACAAAAATATATAGTTTTTACTTAATGAGCAATATTTATGAGTATATACAACCATTATTTGTTATTTAATGTTAAAAATTAACACAAATTATTTGTTAAATGTTTATTGTTATATGATGGATAAAAGGAGAAAAAAACGTCGGAGAGGAGTTAGGATTGGAAGAGAAAGGGCTAAAGCCTAAAAGGAAAATATATGTTGTGCAAAAAATTTTTTAAACACATATTTTTTTATTAAGCATGGAAATTGATGCGATACATTAAAAAATAATGTTGCAATCCTTGTTCAACTAAGAAAGAGGGGTTTAAAAAAAAACACTAAGGACAAAAGAAAAAGTTTGGCACATTAGTCATCCAATCCAAACTAAGGAGGTAATAGAAAAATAAAATTAGTTCTAAATTACTAGAAAATGATACGTCAGATGGATGAGATTAAATAGGCGGGAAAAAGGTATAATGGATTTTTTAAAGGAGTTCTATTTTAGTGGATAGAATGATTTGAGACTGAGCAATCATATATGTATAAAGAATTTTTTAAAAATGACGTGGAAGCAATCAGACTCGTCCTTTTCTTGTTCGTTCTTTTTAGGCGGTTTTTGACACAATGTTGTTTTTTTTTTTTTGGTTCTAGCAGCAATATGTTCTCTCTTGTCCTTATTATAAGGTATTTTAAGTTGTACTAAATTTTATTTAATAAGTTATTTCAAATGAAAATAAAATATATTTTTCTAATAATTAAAAATAAAATCGTTTTATTTTTAATTGAAAGAACTTATTAAATGAAATCTAAGACAAATATAAATACTTTATGATAAGGATAGGAAAAACTACATACGGCATAAAGATTACTTAATCATTAAAATAGATTACTAGTTTGTGTAAGAAGGGAAGTGTTACAAGCAACTAGTATATGTGGAATCGTTTGGAAAATGATTGACTGTAAATTAAAGGATACTGTACCGTATTAGCTTTTAATTCTTATGTATTTACATATTTTTTCGTCCTAACAGTATACTCATATTCGTTTAACTTTCTTTATTTTGAGAGGAAAGAAATATGCTCCCAGTCCAAAAAATAAAATGATAAAACATAGAGTTCTGAGGGAATGTAATTATTTTAATGTTAGAGTCAACTGATTGGAACTTGGAAGTTTATACCTTAAAGAAGTATAGGACAATGAAAAGTCTATGCAATGGATTACATTTGCTCAAAAGCTTGACTAGTGACTATATAATGACCACTCCCTTTTTTAAAGTTTTTGATTTTCCTCGCGTCAGGAACCATGATAATTAGAGGGGGTGACAAAAGAAAAGGAACAAAAGAGAGAGATTTTCCAAAAAAAAAATGAATTTAATATTTTAAATAATGATAGTAATAGCACTAAAAGAAAAATATTTCATAGAAACGGTACTATTTTTAAATTATTTACTATACTAAGGGCGTAACAATCCCTCATGAACATGACTCATAACTATTATTCACATAAAATCATTATCTTTGATTAATTTAACTGTTTGCTTGGTTTATTATATTCTTTTGTGAGAATAATTATAAGTGATAGAAAATATATTACATTTCTTGCATGTATAATTTATTGGTTAAACTGCAAAATTTTTAATTTATTAAATTTAAAATCTACACAGGCATACAATACTTTTTTTTTTTAAGTTCTTATAAAATTGGTTGTGTTGGTTGATTTAAACACGAGCTTTTGTAAAAGTCTTTATTTCACGAATTCTGTCTTGTACAGAGGAAGAAAAGGCCTAACAGCTTTCTTATCTTACGATATTCATAGTGTTGGTTATGTTTGGCAATTTCAAATAGAATAGGTTAGATAGAAGGTCCAAAATAGTGATATGTTGAATAAATATCGATATTTAATCATGAGCTTTTAGTTCTTATGTATTTATATATTTTATGTTTCAAAATGATAGTCATTTTTTTGAACTTTATTATTCTGGTATGAAAGAAATATAATAATTTTAATGTTACAGTCAAATGATTTGAAATTTATACCTTAGAATGCTACTGAAAAGTTTATGCAGCATGCTTTGCTGCATGGACTACATTTGCTCTAATGCCTGACTAGCCAGTAGTGACCATATTTAATGACCACTCCGTTTTTTAATTTTTGAATTTCTTTGCGTCAGGAACAAATTAAGAAGATTTAAAGGAGGTGAAAAAAAGAAAAGGAAAAATTAAAAGAAAGAGATATATTCTGAAAAATGAAATTTATTACTTTAAACAATGGTAGTACTGTATTTGTAATATTCTTCTCTTCTTTATCGTCTTATTTGTAAAGATAATGAAAGTAAATGGAACAATAAACCTTTTTTTTCCTTCTGATATTAAAAATTCGTAAAGCAATTAGATTCAGGTATTAAACTTATTACTTATTATTATTTTTTTTTGGGTAAATAAGAAAGTCGAAGGCGCCGGCGCACTCCAAAATTGACATAACTTCAAGTCGCGGGTTCCATTCAAATATGCAGTATTACTTTATTTTGTAAGTCAAGTACTTTTGCAGATTCTAGTTACCATCTTGACTAACAGCAACAAATGATAAAACGAAAATTTCAATTGAAATTAATCGAGATAAATCAAGATTAATTTTTTATTCACGTGTTTTTGGCTAGAGATTTATATGAAATTTATTAAAAATCACACACTGAAGCATCTTAGTGTGTAGTAAGAACAAAAATTCGTTGGTATTTTTGCATTTTATCTAATCTCTTTTAGAACAAAAGAAAAACTAAATCTCATGTAGACTTTAAAACTCCAGCTATCTCTAATTGTAGAAATTGGAATTTCAAACTATGAATATTTGTTAATTAAACTATATCGACTATTAAGTACAAAGACGATTAAGAATTTAAGATACTTTTGAATTAATTAGTTGTAAAACAACTTCTATTTGTTTCGAAATTTATGAGTTTTCAGTTCGTTTCAGTTGCAATATGTATTCTTTGATCACCAAATTTTATCGATTAAACTCCCGACATTAAGCATTATCTACTTTTGATTTCTACAGAAATAAAAGTTATATGTTTAAAGAATTAAAGGGTAAGACGGAATCGTTATTTTTTGCGGCTAATAAGGTTTAAGATTTTAATGTCATTTTTTTTAAAAAAAAGAGAGTTTAGTATCAATGTAATTACAGTGTTTTAAGACTAAAAAATTGTAAAATATGTTGGGATGACTTTGAAAACTTTCAAACTTGACTGTAAAATTTACGTTTGGTGAAGTGACTTAAGAAACCCGAGTCAAAAATAAGATGTGGAAACTGGAAAATGAGATCCCTTTGGACATCGAAGTGGAACTCGGATAATTCGTATCCATTTTTGCTTGCTTTTCTATATTTTTTATTCGACAAAAAATTATTTTCTATATTCATCTGTATTCATTATCGGATAAATATTCTTTTTATTGTACTTTACATATATCCTATAAAAATAAGTAACATCCCTTTTATATTACCCTATTAAAGCAGAAAACAGGATGTTGATGTGGCAATTTTGTATTAAAATGTTTTGGTTCCAAATGCACCATATTACATAAACTATTCTGCCACGTGTCACCCCCTTTTAAAAACAAAAAATATATTTACAATATTAACGAAGAGATTAGATGGCCATGTTCATTTAAATTTTGAATTTGACTGTAAATAGAACTTTCTTTCTCCACTTATTTAGGACTTTCGAAAAAATTCATTTTCGGTCAATCAATTATCTTCATCAAAAACTAAATTCATTCCTAATCAGTTTTGATTATTTACATATCAATTTATTAGGTGGAAGGACGCCCCCGGGTATTTGCCCGGGACAAGCATCTAGTTGTAATTATAACTTGTACTAAGTAGAGTATTGTGCTTATCGTATTGAAACCATGCACCAACCAATTATTCTTTTCTTTTTTATCATTTGTTGTGATATTTCGTATGCATTTTTTAATATAAAATTTGTTTGAATGCATTACGCTCTTGACTCTTGAGATTCAATATGACAAACTTAAAACTACTTTTTCATAAGACAAACCTCTTTCAACATACTGTATTCGTTTCCCAAACTAGCCAGTGACAATGTGATATAATACAATAACTATCGATAATTTACCACATGTTATACATATCAAGGTGTTTATAATACAATGATCGAAGTAGTCACTTTTATCAGTGGTGAATACTAGATGCAATGTTTTAAAGAAGATGTAAAAACAATCTTCGCCTCGGTTGGTTAACTTAATCTAAATTAAGAGGGAACAAAGGTTTTTATGGTCTCGAGATTTGGAGCAAATCATTGGAATCGTTCCGAACCATAAAACAATTTAGAATTTTGTCCATTTTTTTAAATGATGTATTTTTAGTCCACAAACACATGATTTATATACTCTTTTAGCGGTATATGGATATTCACTAAAAATTCCAAAAAATAAATAAATAAGTAAATAAATTCCTTGTATTTTTAGTCCACAAACACACGATTTGTATACTCTTTTAGCGGTATATGGATATTCACTAAAAATTCCAAAAAATAAATAAATAAGTAAATAAATTCCTTCATCAATACAAAATTTAATACTTAGATGATAACAAAATGAACGTCATTGTTAAAAATCCCTACACTTTGAATGGATTCGACGGCGTGACAAATACTTTGGATGGGCAGCATTTACTTTGCTAGCTTTAAACGTTGTACTT